AAATTAAATTAAATTAAATTAAATTAAATTAAATTAAATTAAATTAAATTAAATAAATAAATACATCCTAAATAAAATGCAATATAAAATAAATAAATAAATAAATAATATAACAAAAAAACTCAATAAAAAGGAAAAAAGAAAATAATAGAAAATAATAAAATAAAGATAAAAAACTATGACAAGAGCCCGTCGACTGTCATTTAATAATGTTCAAAATAGCATTAACTTGGTTAGTACAACAAAACAAGGAACATGTGGAAAAAGATGAACTAATCTGACAAATAAAGTCAAAATGTGGAAAAGAAACCAGAAATACATGATTGTAGTGTACTGTTTATATTTTATTATAAAGTTCTATAAAGCAAAATCCATATATACATTATACATTAGCAGAATATTTCCAAACAAACATTTGCCTAAAATTCTCACCGATTCAAAACTCTATCAAAGCACTTACAGACTTCATTAGACAGTAAAGGTGCAGAGAGGCAGTAAATCCTTTAATCAGACATTAAAAAGAGAGACTGATTAGCTACAGGTGACTTAAGTGCCTTTTACGTATTCTTCTGTTGGTCTTCTCCTTGATTGAATTTTAATAGGCAGTCAAAGTTCAGGAAAATGGCGGCATAGTCTGGCTTCGATTAGACATACAGTCAGCACTATATTAACAGTAATGTACAGTAGCCTCACTAAAACTAATGCTTAGTTTCAGCAAAAAATCTCTGTACATACTCTTAAACGCACAATATGTAATTTTCGCAGCTGGAGGGCGCGTCTTCAAAATAAACAAAGAGACAAAGGCGTAGTTTGTTGAGTGTGGAATCATGGGAGTTGTGGTCTTCATCGCCACAGCCGATGCAATCCGATGGGACTCAGGCAGAAATCATGTTCATGGATGAGCTAATGATTTATTAACATAGTAGTATGAAGCAGGGTGAGGCTGAAAGCCGTCGAAGCGAAACAAGGCCGCTGAACGAGCGCGACACACGGCTCGAAAGCAGCGGAGCTTTTATTATGCCACAGTCGACCGCTTCCGCTCCTTCCGGTCGTGCATATGTGGGGTAAAGCGGCGCTGTTTTATCATACTACATACGTTTGAAAGTTCTGTTATAATGCTACTCTGTGCAGTCGTCACCGGTCTATTAAAACACACAACATATTAAAGCGTCTTTGGTGTTTCCATGTTTTCTACAAAACAAAACCGGAAACCGAGGGGTTATGACGTCATTGTCAGGCGACACAATGACACTAGACACGGTCCGTGTCACTAGTTAAAGTTGCTTATTTCTCTGGATTTAAACATTCTTCGAAACATTTGGGATAATGTAACACTGTTCTAGTGGTTTTTGGATATTTTAATAAAAAAATCTTACATATTGTGCCTTTAATCAGCTGTTTAAAAGTGATAGCCTATCTGATTCAGTGATCAACGAATCTTTTGAATCGGCTCATTTCGACCATGAATCATTGAAGTCGCAAATCGATCATACCTGTTTCCAACGGAAATGACTCACTCACTCAATTGAATCGATTCCTCAAAACAAAGAATCTTAGCGCAGCCAACCATGTGCCCAACTCTATCTGGTACGTACTACTCTTGCCAGTTGTATGAAATTAATAA